CCTGCAAACCTGGCGCCAGCCCCAGCTTGTCTGCAGCCCGGGGGGTGAGGACGGACAACAGGCTGCACTGGTCAACACAGCTACCTGCAGCTGTTTAAGTTATTTAAAATAAAAGGAAATGTAAACTGTGTTTGCTCACTATGGGACAGAGCAAATATAGAGTATTTCCATCATTGCAAGAAGTTTTGTTGGACGGAGCTAGAATTACACTTGTCGGTGGTTATTAGCTCCATAATAATCTACGTGACATTGGGAACGGCTTCAATAAGCCGTTCTTACCAAGCTTGTGAGCTTTGACACCAGCTTTTCCCTCTGATCCTTCACACACGAGAGAGAGAGAGAGAGAGAGAGAGAGAGAGAATACTGAAGCACAAAATTGTCTCCATATTTTTTGTTTTTGAGTTTGGGGATGAAGAGATGGCTGTTAACACGCAGTCATTAGTACCTGACTGGAAGACCTCCGTGCTAACTCTAGTAAACAGTCTTTGATGATGTTCTCTCTGCTTCCTGCTAATTGCTTTTAATGACGCAGCCCACCCTTGCACTGCCTGGAGGGATGGAAGAACTAGTAACATCATGCTGGGTTTTGAATGGAAAATATTCATTTTTCTTCCCATAAAAGAAACTACAAATCAAGCTGCTGCCAGTGGCTGACACTGAAACCATGTCACCCAACAAGCCGGTGTGCTGTGCGGGTCGGAGCTGGCGGTCTGCTCTCCTTTACAGCAGCGCCGCCTTCCAGACAGAACTCACAAGCTCTAAGCCTTCCAGACCTAAGGGCTCCAGCTTTTATGCTGAGGAGGGTACTGGCTGTGTGTCCCTCCATTTGGTTATGAGTCAAGACAAGCTTCTCAGCGTGTTCAGCTCCTTTTCCCAATATTTTGTCACCTATCCACGACTTCATGCTTGATGCGGAGGAGCTAAACACATCACTCACATCAGCGATGCCCAGATCTCTTTGCCCTTTGCCATTTTAGTAGTAGACAGAGAAAGAGGAACTTGTGCAGGATGACAGAAGAATTAGCCAAAAGTGGGAGGAAAACCGGGGCGGGGTGGGAGGTGTCATACAAGTCATGAGTTTAAGCTTCTGGAAGTAGGAAGCGCGGTCAGCTGCGCACCAGATATTGTCACAGTGGAGTTCCAGGTAACCTTTGTGTTTCTTTTAAACAAACATTGATAGCACCTTTGCAAGCAGCCTGGTGGTTTCCTCCTGGAACTCTGAGGAGCAGCCGCTGTTCTCTATTCCTCTATGAATGTGAGGATGTCTTGCACAAGAGACCTCCCCCGTTCCTAGTTCTCCCTGTAGCATAGCCGGCGTTGCTCTTTGTCCCTGTCCCTTCTTCCCAGACCTGGGAGACACATGTTTCTGATGTCTTTCTCGCACCTGCTATTAAGAACGGAGGGAGCTTTTTTTCCCTGAGTTTCTTGGCCCTGTCTCTCGTGTATGCCTTTCATTCCGATGATATTTTGTTACACCCATTAGAGTGCTGCAGACACTGCAAATATTCACTGGATGAAGAAATTTATACTGAAAGGATAAGTGGCAAGATTCTTTGAAGTTTCCAGATGAATATATCTTACAAATGAGTATAAGTTGTGCAGTTTACCCCACAGTATGTTTCTATTAAATTATGCACCACTTACATTTCTTAATTCCTGTCCTCAAGATGTATTGAGTATAATCACCGTTCTGTGATTGTGCCACACTGCCTCACTGGCTTCAAGTACCAGTGCTACCCCGAGAGCCTACTCCAGCTTGAGAAGCAGGCATTCCTGCAAAGAATGGGCTGAGACCTCACTCAAAATATGACCGCCTGTTCAAGTTCACGTCTCCTGCATCCTTCCCAGCATCCTGGCACCCTTCAGTCACTCACTTGGCCAAACGTCCCACCTCAGAGGTAGCAGGGAATGGAAAGCCTTACTGCAGATCCCCAGCTGGCTCGGGGGTCATCACAGGCCGTGTAGACATGTGAGGGATCCTGCTGGGGAGTGGGGCCACAAAAGGCTGTCACGCAGGCCCCGGGAGCACTGTGGTGCTCAAAGCCTGGCCTCCTCCACAGTTCACAGCTCCTGCTGAGAACTGCAGGTCAGGTTCCCAAATGTGTTCTCCTCAAGGAAAACTGATAATTACACATTTGCCTAATTAAAATGGCTGTGAATTACTCAGGGAATGACTTTCTTTGCTCCCTTCAAAAGGCTCTCCCAGAAAAGCAACCTGTGCTTTGTGTATATATAACATAATTTTGAAAATTTAGCGATTCCATAATTTTCTAGCCATTAAATGACCCTCCTTTTCCCTCTCAAATCTTTTCACCAGAGTTTAAGTTCGTTCAAATACATGGGTTTCCGTGTTGCAGCCACATTCAGGAATCCTGAGCCCTGCTTGCGGTGAGGAAGGAATCGCACAGGCACTTGCCTCGTGGGGATCAAGTTTGGGTGTTTTCTCTGTGTTCATTGTGCGGCTTTTACTTCCATTCTTCAAATTTTTTTTCTATTAAAAGAATCATGGTTAAAACATGGTTTTTCAGTGAAAGCAATTCTAGATAGAAAACCACTTTTCTTAAGTGTAATGTTGAGCTTGTTAGAGTAGCCTCAAAACAGTTTGCGTTTGTGGCTTGCCCAGGGTCACAGAAGATGCCACCAGAACCTGGTGTGAAGTGGCTTATAAGCAATGGATGCTCTGTGCCTGAAGCATCTTGACCAAGTCCTCTTGGGTCTTCATTTATCAATTTAGCCAGCACCAACTGAGCACCTTTTATGTGCCAGGTACTGTGTGTTGGGACATTGCAATTATGAAGACAGTGGCTGTCATCAGAGAGACCGTGACTTCTGCACTCTCTCAGGTCCTGATGAAATCCTCTTCTTCCACCAGTAACTGTTCCCCGCACACCCCCTCAGGGCTGTGGCAGCTAAAGGGGAATACTAAGGTGGTTAATGTGGGAACTAATAATGCCCGTCCAAGCCGAGTTAGTGGCATGAAGATGCTGGAGCAGCTCAGAGGTTGGGCCCTTCAGCCACCGTGGTCAAAGAGGGCTTCCTGGAGAAAGGAGCATAGAAGCCAAGCCTTGACAGCTGCACCAGCACCGTGGTCACAGTTGGAGCTCTGTGTCTCCAGAAAGCGCTTTTTGCCTCCTTCCCCTGCCTCACAGGCTTACTCAAAGTTCTTGTTACCTGTGCGGAGCTGAGAGGTAAAGTTGAGGGGTTCTAGGCCCTGGTCATGCCTACCCAGAGAACTAGACTCTAGAGACAGGAGCATGGTCACGAGTGTCCTCACTCTGGATAAATCCCTGAATTATTTAGATGATTTCCTCATGACTCCCACCCCCTGTGTGTATCTCTACCATCCTACTAGCTCATCCATTGATTGATTTGTGTGTTAGCTCAGGGACAGGTGTTCGTTGTACTAAGATACGGTCACTCTGGATAAATCCCTGAATTATTTAGATGATTTCCTCATGACTCCCACCCCCTGTGTGAATCTCTACCATCCTACTAGCTCATCCATTGATTGATTTGTGTGTTAGCTCAGGGACAGGTGTTCGTTGTACTAAGATACGAGCTTTACACAACCCTCTCAATAGTCTGAAAATCTCAGAGACAATGCAGAAACAGGAAAGTTCCAAGAAAGCTGTGTTTTCTACATCTCCCTCCCCACTGTTGTCTAAGTCGATAAGGAATGGTCCCCATGGTGGTTACAGACACTGGTAAGACACCCTCTGGAAACGAGCACCTCAGAAAACCAGCTGCCGCTGAGCTTGAAGGATCTGATGACTTTCCCAAGGGTTACCAGATGTACACCAGGCAGGACAGGTGACCGCTGAATACCAGAATGGAAAGGGGAATCACTGCCCAGGGATCTAGAATGTATTCTTCCTCGAGACGTAAAATCAAATGGATTTCTTTTTCCTCCAGGCAAGAGTATTATGAAATAACCATGCTGATAGTTCTGGAAGCCAGAATCACTTACCTTGTGAACTTGTGTTTTTTTTTTCTCAGATAAGTTTTGGTATTGCCGGCTTTCACCAAATCACAAGGTCCTGCATTATGGAGACCTGGAAGAAAGTCCTCAGGGAGAAGTGCCACATGACTCCTTGCAGGACAAACGTAAGTGGCGCTTCTGTATTGGAGGCCTGAGTTTTAGTTTTCTGGTTTTTTGTTTTGTTTTGTTTTGTTTTGTTTTCCCAGTGGGAAAATGATTTATTACCCAAATAAACATGTTAGTTTGCTAGAGTAAATTTTATCAAAACTTATTGTCCGTGCAGTAAAGTCAAAGTGGTTGGCAGGGGGTGGGGAGGGTTTGGGGTGGGTGGGGAGTCCTCAGTGGTGAAGATGTTGGGAATTGAGTTTCTGACTTAATCCCCAAGCACTCAGCACTTTCTCCTCAGCTGCGTTTTCCTAGACCACCAAAGACAGCTTGTGTGCTGCTCTTAGGCGTTAGGGGTAATGCTGATTCTCTCCGACCATTTTTTCTTTGCCTTGTTACTTTATCACCTCGCCAGGAAAGTGGTCTCAAAAGGGCTCGTACAGCTAGAAAGTCTGCCTAAATGGGTTGGTACTTCTACCCAGGCACTTTGGGCTGCAGAGAACAGAGACCCATCCAGAGGAGTTCACACGGAGGCCTGAGTTTTGGTTGGCTGGTTGTTTCCCAGTCACAATATATCACACAGCAAAACTATCAGCCTGAATAAACCCTTTGGACGTGTCTCTTCTGGTTGTAAGTCTTGGCCTGAGCAGTCTTACCAAGTACAAGCCTTGATGGAGTCAGGATTTGGGACTGACAGGAGAAACCATAAAAGGCTGCTCAGATGTCTCTCCTGAAAGATGTAAACTTGGGGTTCGAACGTCCACTTTTTACATTACTTATCCAGGTGCTATTTCAGGGAACAAACACAATATAAGACTGATTCTGTCAGTTGTCCTTTTCTGATGACGCAAAATAATTTCACATAACTTCCATGCTTGACCCCTACCATATTTATTCATTACAGTTTAGTGTATCCCATAACTATAATGCAGAATTAATGACAGATCCAAACACGGCTAACTTACGTCAAAGAAATAACTCTGACGCTTTGAAAATTTATGATCAATTACATTCCATTGTTTGCTAAATATTTGCAAAAATATATATTATGTATATTTATTTGCTTTTTCTGTGTGTTGTCTTTTTTTTTAACATGTGTGCTTCCAAAGAGACAGTAATGTACAGGACTCTTTTGGCCCAACACCAAACCAGAAGATAGGGTGTTTGACAGTGTTAATTGTACAAATTAAACAAAGTATTATAGAAACATTGAAATATTCGAGGGTGATGAATTAATTTGGAAGAGAAATGAGATATGGTGAACGTAGCCTCAGAGGATATCCCAGGTAGAAAAATCAAAGAGAAAGAAAACAGTAGGACACTTAAGTGATCTTTAAAAGTCACCTTGACCCTGCAGTGTTCAGAAAAACATGTCCCAGACAGTGTCCTTACCCCTGAGTCTTACACCTTCCCTTCTGTCACCCCAGGGCCCTTGGAAGTCAAATCTGGTCTGCCTTCCCTACAGCTCCCAGCCATTGAAGGCAAAAATAAACCATGATTGGGAAACCTCCTGACATCTCAGGCAGACAGCCTGGAACTTTCTCTCTTCCTCCAGCTTAAAAATGGGACAATCTGGTCTTTGTGATGTCACTTGGTTCAGAAAGCAATCTCGTTTTCTTTCATAGAACTGCCTCCCCATCCCACAGTGTTGACACTGCACAGTCGGCTGCTACGGACAGCATGGGCCGGGGGCTCCGCATCTCTGCCGTGGAGCCCGGGCTTCTGCCTGTAGATGAGAACTGCCTCCCCATCCCACAGTGTTGACACTGCACAGTCGGCTGCTACGGACAGCATGGGCCAGGGGCTCCGCATCTCTGCCGTGGAGCCCGGGCTTCTGCCTGTAGATGATACCCTCCCTGTGGAGCTCAGAAAGCCTCCCACCCCACCATGAACAAGCTGAACCAGCAGTTGTCTTAAGTGTGGTCCTCGGGCCATGATCAGCCTTATTACCTGGGAACTTAATAGAAATGCAGATTCTCAGACCCCACTCCCAACCTGCTGCATCAAAAGCTCTGGGGCAGAACTGGCCATCTCTCTTTCAACAGACCCTCCAGGTGATTCTGATGTGCATTCAAGTTTGAGAACTGCTAATCTAGATATTGCCCGACACTCCACAGTGATTCCCCAAATGTGTCTTTCACCAAAGTACGATTTTTTCTTTTTCTTTTTTTTTTTAATAAAAAGTGAATTGCTACTGTGTTGCCAACTTTTAATTTTGGCAATAAAGAATGTTAGAAAATAAGATCTAACTAAACTTTAATATCACAATCCTTTCATAAAAGAAAGGACCCTTGATCACAAGAAAAGGCATGAAGGATTATTCTGGNACTGCCTCCCCATCCCACAGTGTTGACACTGCACAGTCGGCTGCTACGGACAGCATGGGCCGGGGGCTCCGCATCTCTGCCGTGGAGCCCGGGCTTCTGCCTGTAGATGAGACCCTCCCTGTGGAGCTCAGAAAGCCTCCCACCCCACCATGAACAAGCTGAACCAGCAGTTGTCTTAAGTGTGGTCCTCGGGCCATGATCAGCCTTATTACCTGGGAACTTAATAGAAATGCAGATTCTCAGACCCCACTCCCAACCTGCTGCATCAAAAGCTCTGGGGCAGAACTGGCCATCTCTCTTTCAACAGACCCTCCAGGTGATTCTGATGTGCATTCAAGTTTGAGAACTGCTAATCTAGATATTGCCCGACACTCCACAGTGATTCCCCAAATGTGTCTTTCACCAAAGTACGATTTTTTCTTTTTCTTTTTTTTTTTAATAAAAAGTGAATTGCTACTGTGTTGCCAACTTTTAATTTTGGCAATAAAGAATGTTAGAAAATAAGATCTAACTAAACTTTAATATCACAATCCTTTCATAAAAGAAAGGACCCTTGATCACAAGAAAAGGCATGAAGGATTATTCTGGGAATAAAGGACTGTCCCTTCTGCCGAATTAAATTAGCTCTATGAAAAATTCGCACCAGTGTCCTCACTGTCCCGCACTTGCTATTAACTGGTGAAAATTCACTGGTGAACTAGGAAATGTCTGGAGGCCACCAAGTTGGAATTACTGCTCGATACGGTTAGAGGCCACTACTGGTCAAAGCACCCAGCAGCTCTCCAGCAGGTCTCCCACTGCCCCGTTCTTCACCTGACCAAGAGATGGGGCGAGTGGTCTGAACAGAGCAAATGCAGCTTGATTCACTCCTTCCCACTGACCCCGGGACTTGGCTCTCCACTTACTGGACACATTATCTGTCTCCATTTTTATAGGGATATAATCCACTTCTCAACCCAAAGATAGGCATTTGACTGGCAGGCACGCCCATTCCAGCTTTACCTTCCCGGAGAAGGTTCAAGGGCATGGGTAGCACTGGAACCTTGCGCAGGGTCGGTTTCTGGGCTGTCCACAGGCTGATGCTCCCTAACTCTACTAAGACCCTCACCTCCAAGAACCGAGGGTGCAAATGCCTGGCTAGGAACCAGGAGGGCCGATGCCAGGGAGAGCCGGCTTGCCAAGGTGGTTGCAGGAGAGGAAGGCCAGAGCTGCACGTCTCCAAGCAGCTTTTGGTAGTGGCCATGGAGTGATGCTGGTTGTAGGAGAGGGTGGCAGCAATCCCTGCTGACAGTGCCTCTGACACTCTTGTCCACCCCTTTCCTCTGCAGCCTTTGCAGTCCAGTAATGCATACTTCTAGAGAGTTGCTTCATAAACAGTTTATGCATTGCAAGATGAGCCAAGAATGCATACTTGTGCAGGTGTGTGCATGCGGGAGGCACGTGTATGTGTGTGAGTGTGCTGGTGAGATTGTATCTGTCTGTACATGTGTGCCAGAGAAGAGGGTAGTCCGATGCAGCTACCCACTGTGCCTGGGATGAGAAGCCCTGGCCTAGGAAACTAAAGTTTGCTGCTTCAGGCCTGCCACCTATTTTGCATTTAACTCCAATTCCGCATTCTGCCTGGAGCAAAATAGCCACCTCTTGGAGCCCTTAAAAGTGAGAAGCCTCATTCCACTAGACAAATGAGACATTCCTTTAATTAACGTTAAGTGTCGTTGTTCTAGCCATATTTGATTGCCGTCTCTTGAGACCAGGGGTAAATTGTCTTCCGCCCCTTGAGTTAACCAGGGCTGCATATTGAGATACTGATGAACCAAATAGTGTCATTGAATCCTCTTAACACAGCTAGTGTGGTGCAGACTGAGGGCCTCTCCGCAGCGATCTTCTTCCCTAAAGGGTCAGGAAGTCTCTCTTCTTGTACCTCTGCATGTCAGGAGATGTGGCCCTTGAAAATCCACATCATTTCACATCCCTCCTCGCCCTGCAGTCCTGCCACCAGGCTTATAACCTGTCATCACTCCCATAAACACTGGACGCCATCGCTGTCCAACCTGGCCCGGGGCCTGCACTGCCTCTCTCTGAAAGAATCTAGGCCAGTGCTCCTCGCTGCCACATAGAAGGGGCCAGGAGGAAAGCACAGGCTTGCCCTGCCAGAGGAGATTAAGCTTGTCACAGTAGATGAGGATGGCGGCAGGCACAACGAGGCAAACGGGCGATGTGGTCACTGAAGCACAGTGCGTAAAGCAGGCCCTCCATCTACAGAGAGAATTACCTTTGATTACTGGTAATGGGAATAATTGCAAATGACATTTATTGAGTGCTTGCTGTCTGCCAGGCACTGTGCTAAGAGCTTCACATAAATTATCCTCTCCACAACCTGAAGAGGTTGAGATTATTGTCCTCGTTTTACAGAAAAAGAAACTGAGGTACAGAAAGATTATGTAATTTGTTCAATGTCACAAGATTAGTAAAGAGCAAAGATCTGAATGTGACCCTCCAACTCCACGGCCAAGACTTTTACCCACTGCTCTGCACTGCGTAGGTTAAAGCCGACAGTGGTCTTGGCTCCAGTGTCAGGAGTTAATGCTCAGAGCAGCCCTGTGAGCTAGTTAGCCCAGTGTTATAGGTCCACCCTGCAGACAAGGAAGCAGAGGCTCTGAGAACTTAAGCCCGCGGTGCCACAGCAGTAGTTG